TGACTTGGGTGCAGTCCTAAAACATCTGGAGCACCACTTGAACATCAGCATTGACAAAATCAATACCAGTCAGTAGCAAAAGGCAGCTTTACTTGGAACAGCTTACATCCTGCAACGATACCTTTAACTCCATCAAACAACATCTACCTATCCCAGGTCCTTGGGAAGGACTTGATAGGTGGACGAAAATGCCAAATCCAGTTTAAGCATCTGATTGACTGTATGACCAACCATCATCATCATCGTCATCATCATACAGATTTCTGGCTAAAACATTAATCTGTTCTTTAGAGACACACGCAGTTTTTGAGGTAAAGGAGCAAAGGAACTGCTTTGCTTTCCTGTACATATGTTCCCAGTTTCCTGTAGATTTGCAACTTTTTTCAGATGCTTCTGTTCCTCACCTTGGCCCCACAGCTTGAAAGTTCCTTGAAAGAGAAGGGGCGGAAGGGATGTCAGGACCTCGGTGCAGATAAGTATGAATTCTCCTGCTTGAGATAAAGAATATTCTTTATGTTGATTCCACGTCTGGGAAGCAGTGGTTAATCTGGTAAATGCTACATATGTCAAGGTGTATTTAAGATTTTGAAGGATTTGATTGAAAGAGACAATGCAAAATAGCTTTCTAGGTATTTATTCCAATCACTGATAACAATCTAGTAAGTTTCACTTTCAGCTAAGCTTTGCAGATGTAACATATAGCTTCTACTTGTCACTGCAAACAGTTTTTCCTCCCCTTCTTTTAAGATAGGGTTTAAAAAGTAGAAGTACAGTGGTACCTCGGGTTATGAACGCCTCTGCTTACGAACTTTTCGGGTTGCGACTAGCTCCGGCCGCAAAAATTTACCTCAGTTTGCAAACTCTGCCTCGGGGTACAAACCGGATCCTCGGCCATTATCCGCCGTGCCAAGTGGTCCGCGGCCATTTTTCCACCCGTGCCACATGGTCTGCGGCCATTGTTCTGCCTTGCCACGCAGTCCGCGGCCGTTTTTCCGCCCTTGATGCATGATCCGCGGACGCCGGAATGGATTAACGGTAATTACATTGAACCTTATGGGAAAATTTGCTTCGGGTTGCGAACAAATCGGGATGTGACCAG